CCCCGCATGGGGTCTGCACTGAGGAGGAGCCTGCTTAGGATTCTCTCTTCCTCTCTTTCTCTCTGCCCCTCCCTGGCTCATGCTTTCTCTCTCAAAATAAATAAACAAACTTAAAACATTTCAATGACAATCTGATGACAACAAAACTTTATCTAACTTCTCTCTCTCTCTCTCTCTCTCTCCAGCCGCATAACTTTTCTGCATCTAAACAAAGGAGGCGTTGCTTTCCTTTATAATTTTCTTTATAATCCACTCCACATCCCCTGGCTCCAAGCTTTTATTGTATTTCATCTGGTCAGGAAGTGCCCTTGGATTCTTCTCAGCTTCTTCCTATCATAAGGCTCCCTTGCCACAGTCCTAGAGATATAATAGGATCCAGGCTTGTAAAAATGACAAGGAAAACCTGGAACTTAGCCATCAAAGGGGAAAAAAGGACATGTCCATTTACCTGAAACGAGTGGTCAAGCTGCGTTCACAAGAACACACTTTTTGGTTTATATCTAAATCATCCTTAACAATTGCCATGACTCACTGCCTGAGTCATAGATAAGTTGTGAAGCCAACCAAAATATATGAAATGGTCTGGCTCATTCCCCTTGTGTATATTCAACTCAAGGTGAGAGGTAGGTTACTCTTCAAGAATGCCTACGGTGCAATCCGGCTTTCACTGTTTAAGAACCAGTTTTTATAAACCTGTTTTTAAGACCTGTTGTTTAATTCATAGATGTCAAACAAAGCTGTAAAACCCGTTCCTCTATTCGGGCTGTACCAAGAGGAGCCTTCTGGTATACATCTTTTCATCAGATGATGTAGTTTCTCTGTAAGTAGACCTACATTCCTCTAGTGGTACTTGGGTTCTACCTTTTATACTTAAATTGCTGCCTGTGTAAATAACTCATGACTGTGGTTGATAAAGATGCTTTATCATAACTTATTAATTTAAAGGAATGCTCCTGTTTTCCACCAACATCTCAGTGTGTTTCTGTACTGAGATGTATTACACTCTACAAAGTGGGAATATCGGCTTGATCGTCAGGCATGGTTGTGCCTTGATCCAAAAGGCTGTGGTTGAAAGGACACCCATTTGAAGGTGTATCTCTTAATTAGATGACTTAACATAGTAAACATTGATCCATATGATTTTTTTTTTCAAAAATTTTTGCAGTATCACGGTAAATTAGCATATACACAGGATATGTCCCTAGGTATCAGACATAGAGAATAAGATCAGCAAATAAATTCACCATGGCCATTGAAGTCACCTGGACACAAACATAAGAATATCAACAAGAGACAGCAACTGAACATGCATTGTTATGGGAAACCCATTTTTTTCTTTCTTTACTATTGACCAAAGAGTTGATTATTTGGGGGAAGCTGATCAAAAATAACTAGAATTCTGGGGCTTCCTGAGTGGCTCAGTCAGTTCAGCATCTGACTTCAGCTCAGGTCATGGTCTCACGGTTCGCAGGTTCGAGCCCCGCATCGGGCGCTGTGCTGACAGCTCAGAGCCTGGAGCCTGCTTCGGATTCTGCGTCTCCCTCTCTCTCTCTGCTCCTTCCCTTGCTCATGCTCTCTCTTTCTCTCTCTCAAAAATAAATAAAACATTTAAAAAAGTAACTAAAATTCTGGTTTTTTTTCAATCGATTCCAAGAAAAATTTCAAAAATACAAAATAGGGAGTTGGTTTTGAGCAAAAGAAATCCAATATCCTCAAATCTCTTCTGGCAGGCACTGCACTTCACAGAGGGAGGCAAGGTAAGTACATTTTTTGTTCTGCGTGCTTAATGTTTAAAGTATCCCGGGCGCCTGGGTGGCGCAGTCGGTTAAGCATCCGACTTCAGCCAGGTCACGATCTCGCGGTCCGGGAGTTCAAGCCCCGCGTCGGGCTCTGGGCGGACGGCTCGGAGCCTGGAGCCGGTTTCCGATTCTGTGTCTCCCTCTCTCTCTCTGCCCCTCCCCGGTTCATGCTCTGTCTCTCTCTGTCCCCAAAATAAATAAACGTTGAAAAAAAAATTAAAAAAAAAAAAAGTATCCCCACTTCCCTCAGGAAACAGTATCATATCTAAAACACTTTGATGAACACTGAATATTAAAACATTATATGACACTACAGAAATCGAAAGAAGCAGACACAAATGCATGCTCTTCAATTTCTCAATATGTTCAGAATATACCACAGCATTGATAATATGAAGACAAATGTTTGGATTTTATTTTTAAACTGAAAATTCTTCTGGTTGTTCTTCACTGAGGGGCGTTAGCGGTGACGAGGAGATCAGCTTGCCGCTGAACGAAATGTGTCTGGCACGTTCTTGGTGTCTCCCCTCCACCTGAGTAAATCAAGCCGAATGTCTGCTTTTTCTTTGTGTGTTCCCAAGTTTGGTGGAAAACGGCAAAGGCATTAAGACGTGACACATGACAAATTCACAGTCCCCCACCATTCCTGGGACCTTAACCCTGCCGGGAGAACAATGAGGTTTTCTTCATTTTCTCTCCCAATTTTTGTTTTTGTTTTTGTTTTCAAACCTTTACTTTCCTAAAGAATAATGCTTCACCTCCTTCCCATACCACTCTATCCTCCTTAAAGAGAGAGAGAGAGAGAGAGAGAGAGAGAGAGAGAGAGAGAGAAACCATCAAGAACCCTCTCACCCACACCGTATCAATCATTCATTTGTTTCCATACTGTCTCTTTATCTTGTCTTACTGGGAGGTGGGGGTGGGGGGCAATTCCTACCCAAATTTTATTCTTGTATCTGAGCTTCAAATTTCCTTCCCTTGGGTCTTATCAGGACCATCACCATATTGATTTTTCTCTTGTTCTTTGCCATTTAGTCTCTCCCTCCCTGAAAGCAGGCATACACTCTTCCTCCATGATCTTCCTTCCTATGGCTTTGGCTGCACATTCTTAGCTTCCCTGGCAAGATCCCTTCTCCTGCCCACCCTTTCCTTGTTGAGCTGTTGGCGGATATCACTCCTCATTCCGCCCTCTTCGTGTATTCTCCATGAGCATTTTCACCTTCTCTGCTGGTGTCCAAGTCCGATATACCCGTGACACATAAATCTACCACCAGCCCTAAATTCTCTACTAAACTTCAGGCTCATGTTTACCTCTAACTGCAAGACAGTGCCTCCTGGATATCTCACAAGTGTGAAAAATAAGACAATAGGCCCCAAACAGAGGCACTTCTGCTAAATCCCATGTCACGGAAGCAAGACTTAATTTAATTACAGTCTCAGCTCTCCCAGAAATGGAATCTTAAACCAGTCCATCAGGAATCACCTAACCGGCACTAATCAGGTAATCTGCCAGAGAAAGCCCTGTCATCCCCCAAAGGAAAGTAACCCTGCCATAACTTTGCACACGCTAATGTGCCTCTTTCCCACCTTCCTTGTTCCAACTCCTTTCTGCCCATGTAAGTCTTCCATTTTGTAAGGTTCCTCAGAGCTTCTGTCTTTTAGATTGGATGCCACCTGATTTGAATTGACTTTTGCTTAAATAAGCTCTGAAAATATTTAACATACCTCAGCTTATCTTTTAACATAGGTAACTCAATATTTTAGAATAAAATTTGTTATCTATTCCCCCTGTCAATCCAACATGACCCTTTCCTCTAATTCTGATTTCATTAAGTGTAAAACCATCTGTTGGATTAGTCATGAGACTTGGGCACTATTCTTGATTTCTCACTCTCCCTCATCCTAGACAGAGTAAAACTCCAAGCCCTTCCCCTGGGGCTCCAAAATGTCACTGGAATCTATCCACATATCTCCACCTCTGCTGCGTCTACGCTGGTTGATGCCCTGCTTCCTCCGGCTTAGACATTGCAGTAGCCTCCCTGCCTCCTGTTTCCCTACATCTTCCATCCACTCTTCATTCTGGGCCACGGTCACCTCTCCACTGAAACTCCACTCAAACTGCATCTACCTACTGTCAGTTCTAAGTCAGCTTGCCCTCCATTTGTTGGTTAGGCTTTAGCTTAGATCTCATTTTCTTTGTAAAACCTTCACACCATGACTCTGGGTAAGGCTGTCCTTCCGATGGCCCCCTAAACCATCCTATTGAACTGAGATTTCCTACTCAGTTGTCTGTATCCAATGCTGAATTTCATAAGTTCTGCCTGTCTTGATCACTCTTGTGGTTCTAGAACCTGGCACCCAGTACCTGGCATAGAGGAAATATTCTAAATAATTATTGAATAAATTCCTGAATTCGCAAATAAATGGTTTTAGGACTAGTTGAATACTAAATGGAATAAGTTGGGCTGAGGGAGGGAAATCAAATACTCAGCAAGGCAGTTATGAGGGCAAAATGGTCGATGGATTATTCCTAATGTCTCTTTTCCATCATAAATTCTTTAAAAATGTGTTTACACACTTCTGACTTTTACATGTTTGCAACAGATTTCACTGAGTCTTATTCTTCACTTTTCCCTGTATCTATGCCACTTGTCAAGTAATTTTGCAAAGCTTACTAACCATGGGCAGGGCACGTTTCCCACCTCAGCTCTGATTTCAAGCATCTGTCATGGTTGAAATGTCACAGGTAGATGTGAAAGTAACACAGTGTTGGTCTAAGACCCAAGAGGTCTTGCGTGTTTCTGCTGGTCTCTTTGTGCCTCAGCCACCGCCATGAAAAGAATATGGCTGTGCCAATGCACTGGTCCCAGGAGGAGAGTATGAGACCCAGGGAGCAAAATGATGCAGCCAAGGTGCTGCAGCTGACCCCAGCCTAGGTCAGCTGACCCCAACTGACTTGTAGCCTTGGTTTCTATATAAATGCTTATTGTTTGAAGTCACTATGTTCTAGAATAGTTTTTTATACCAAACTTTTGTGGTGGCAGTAACTGCCTGGTCTATCTGCTACTTGAATGTTTGGGTATTCCAGAGATGGTTATGAAATGTACTTGCCATTGTCCATTAAAAAATAATCGTTTTGGAAAAAATATTTACGGTACATACATCTAACGAAAGAGTTGAATCCAAAATACATAAAGAACTGTGCTCACTTTGGCAGCACATCTACTAAATTGGAATGACGCAGAGTAGATTAGCATGACCCTGTACACGGATGACATGCAAATTTGCAAAACACATTAAAAAAACCCCTCATAATAAAAAGTACAAACAACCCAATTTAAAATGACACTCCCCCCACACTTGAACAAATATTTCACAAAACACGGTATGCAAATAGCCAGTAAGCAAATGAAAACGTGCTCAATGTCATTAACCGTAAGAGGATGCAAATTAAAACCATGGTGAGATACCTTTCACAGGTGCTAGTGGGCTATTCTCAAAACACCTAACAAAACAGACATTTGTGAGTATCTGAAGTGACTAGAAGTCTCATCTATTGTGGGTAGATGTCGAGGAATGTCCAACCACACGGAAGAACTCCTTTGCAATTTCTCGTAAAGTTAAACAGTTACTTTACGTAAAGTAAACAGTAAAGAAGTAAGGACGATGTGTACACAAAAAGACGTAGAGAAGAATGTTCATAGTAGCCTTACTCATAATTGCCTCAAACTCAAAATGGCCCAAATAACCATCAACAGGTGAATGGACAAACACATTGTGGTAAACTCATAGAGTAGAATGCTTCTTAGTAAAAAGAAATGAACTACTGACACACACAACAATTTGGATCAACTTCAGAAACATTATATCAAGCCCCCTCCACCAAAAAAGCACAAATTGTGTGATTCAATTCATATGACTTTCAGCATAAGCGAAACAAATCTATGTGCTAGAAACTAGAGTTGTTGTTGTTGTTGTTGTTGTTGTTGTTGTTGTTTTCCCTGACAGGAAATAGTGCAGAACTGACCAGAAAGAAGTTTGAGAGGATTTTCTGGGGCTTTGGAAATGTTTTCTATTTCCATAGGTTGTGGTTAAATGGGTGTATGCCATCAACAAAACTCTTCAGAATGAGTCCTTAAGATCTATGTATTGTACGTAAATTATACAGCTACATCCGTAAAAGATTGTTCTGGCCAAAGGGGATGGCGAAAATATATACATAGATGAGAAAGAAAGAGACACACATACAGAGAAACAAAGAGAAATAATCAAAACTCAAACTACACTTCAAGAGGGAAGTTGCAGTGTTTTGTAACCATTTGATAAGGGAAGGTGCTCTCCATACACACCGTTTAATAACAAAAGGAAACGGTGCTTTTTATGGAGGGCACGTAGTATTTGTGAAATGACGGCTGCTACAGATGGTCCTGAGGCCGCCACAGTGAGATCTCCTGGAGTAAGAAGAACGCTGAAGCCCACAGAGGATACAGGAGACTACAGTTTTGGTGGCAAGACATTGCTGTACAAGCTGGCGTGCCATAGGTAGACTCTTGAGACTCACTCGACGCTTTCCTGCCCAACCGGGTACACACTTAGAACTCTCGAGACTTCAGGTTTCCTTGAATCGAATGGCTTTCACCTGGGCTCTGCACCGGGGCTCAGAACATCGGACCATGGGCAGCTGCATCTACTCACGAGGCGCAGATATTTTTGTTTGGTACTGTCTTTGGTGCTAGTGTAAGCAAGGGAAAAAAAAGCCTCTTCCCCATCCCCTCCGAGGGTCTCCAGCTGGAGCCCGAAAATAGACTGACAAAGGACCGATGAACGAGAGAAGAACAGAGCTTGTTAACGTGGGCAGCATGCACGCATGTGGGAGAAACTCAGTGATGGGTAATTCAAAGAGGTGGTTTGAACTTGCACCTAAATGGCATCTTAACAAAGAAGGACAAATTTGTAGGGAAGTGAAAAGACACAGGGAAAGGGTTTCTGGCTTCTAGGGACTTCCAACTGTGGGAAGGCAACGTGGGAGAAACCAGTGGAAAGGAAGGGCCACTTTAGCAAGGTTTGGTTGCACAGGTCCACTTCGGTGCTGATTTTCCTTCTTCTGCGTGACCATAGAGCTTCTCCGGGAGAGGGGATTTGGGGCAGTTTTCATTTTCAGAAATTTCTGCTTTGAGTCAGATAAGAGAAGTTCTGAAAAGGCTTCTTTCTGCATCTCTTGATTCTCCGTCGTACCAAAGCTGCACATTTGGGGATGGCACGTTCTGATCCTCCGCACTAGCTAATCAACTGAAATGAAAAGTATTCCTATGCCACTGACCTTGGAACCCGGAGATCGACAAGCTTCAGTTCTCCTTCCTATGTTCCAGAGTGGAAAGAGGGAATCCCAAGCAGGCTCCTTGCTGTCAGCACAAAGCATGATGCAGGGCTGGACCCCACAAACCGTGAGATTATGACCTGAGCCGAAGTCAGACGCTTAACCGACAGAGCCACCCAGGAGCCCCCTTAACGAGAGCCGATACTACTGCCTTCTAGATGGGTCCACTTTGATCATTCTCCTTTTGTAATTTAGATTGAGTACTTTGCGTAATACCATAGGTGAATTCCTGAGGAAATTGTACATAAGCCATGATCAAATCATTTTCATGCACTGGGAAGACTCACTATTTAACAGATTCACTATTTAGAGGAAAATTAGATGGAACCTGTCTCTACAATTGTGCCAGCGTTCCTGGTTTCAAGCAGAAGGAATACATTGATTTCCTCAAAGAGGAAATGGATGCATTGGAGAGACAGCTGGCGCTCGAGTGGTTAACAGCTTATATTCCAAACTGGACCATGGCCACCAAGCTCTGAGGTGCTGTGTGGTAAGAACCACAGTCAGAGTCACAGCATAGGTATGGGACACTGACACAGCAGCTGCCCCCATGATGGCTATGGCTTCAACCAGCGCTCTTGCTCGTGGGTCATTCTCCCAAGTATTAGCATCCCCCAGAGGGTCCAAATGTCCCAAGGACTGTCCCCTGCATGGGACCCCCCCAGCTTTTCTGAGTGGGGAGTTGGGTGATTTGGACCCCACAGTTTCCATAGGAAGACTTACACTCTACATCCTAACCCAAAGATGCAGGGAGGTGCAGTTCTCCAAAGGATAATCCTTGGGTGTCTGGGAAGGATGAAAAGGACTGACAGTGGGAGCTGGCAGCCCAAAATTGACAAGTGTCAACCAGAACTTCATTCTTAATTGAGGAATATCAAATTGATTCGGCGAGGAGATGTAGTTTCTTTTAGGTATAGGACTGGCAAAAAAAAGTTACAGCATCCATAGTGAGTATTGTTACTAAGGGTGTGGAAAGCATTCTCCTATCTGTGGGTTAGCATGTAAACTGATATAATGTATTTAGGGGACAATTTGGCAATTTCTATCAAAATTAAAAAAAAATGTAATGTTTTTTATTTATTTTGAGATAGACAGAGCACGAGCCGTGGAGGGGCAGAGAGAGAGGGAGACATAGAATCTGAAGCAGGCTCCAGGTTCTGAGCTGTCAGCATGGAGCCTAACGCAGGGCTCAGATTTGTGAACCGTGAGATCATGACCTGGGCTGAGGTTGGACACTCAACCAGCTGAGCCATCCAGGTGCCCCTACAATTTCTATCAAATTTAAGACTAAGTAATCTCTTTGAACCCACAATTGACCTTCCAAGACTGAAAAGCAGTCTTAATGCATACCTGCAAAAGGGATTTACGGTGTTGGCAAAGTTGTTTATAAAGAAGATAGAGAAGAAACAACTTAAATTAAGTGTTCATCAATAGAAACATTGTCGGGGAGCCTGGGTGGCTCAGTGGCTTGAGCGTCTGACTTCGGCTCAGGTCATGACCTCACGGTTCCTGGGTTCAAGCCCTGTGTGGGACACTGTGCTGACAGCTCAGAGCCTGGAGCCTGCTTCAGATGCTGTGTCTCCCTCTCTCTGTCCCTCTCCCTCTCACACTCTGTCTCTCTCTCAAAAATAAATAAACATCAAAAAAAATTATTTTTAAATAGAAACATTGTCAAATAAATTATGGTACCTCCAAACAGTTAAACAATGCATAGCTTTTAAAAACTTTGTAGATATGAAAAGACTGCATTCGTTAAAGTAAAAATGTTAAAAACAAGGGGCGCCTGGGTGGCTCAGTCGGTTAAGCAGCTGACTTCGGCTCAGGTCACGATCTCGCGCTCCGTGATCTAGCCCCGCGTCGGGCTCTGTGCTGACAGCTCAGAGCCTGGAGCCTGTTTCAGATTCTGTGTCTCCCTCTCTCTCTGACCCTCCCCTGTTCGTGCTCTGTCTCTCTCTGTCTCAAAAATAAATAAACGTTAAAAAAAAATTAAAAATGTTAAAAACAAAAGGTTTAATAAAAGGGACGCATATGTAACATCTATGCTTGTATACATGAGTAGAATTTCCTTACAGGATTCACAAGAACCTGAGTTGGGTGAGTTAAATTTGAATCACAGACAAACAATGAGTAATTGTTTAGTGAGAGTATGTCTGACTTGTTTATCTGAAATTCAAATTAAACTGGGCACCCTATCCAGAGGAGTATTTTAAGGAAAAGTTCCATGAAACTTTGTGTCAAGGTATTGCTGAGGACAGGGATGCCTGTGTGGCTCAGTCAGTTAAGCGTCTGACTCTTGGTTTCAGCTCAGGTCGCGATCTCACAGTTCTTGAGTTTGAGCCCCTCATCGGGCTCTGTGCAGTTAGCTTGGGATCCTCTCTCTCCTCTCTGCCCCTCCCCTGCCAGTGTTCTCTCTCTCTCTGTCTCTGTCTGTTTCTCTCTCTCTCTCTCAAAATAAATAAACTTAAAAAAAAAAAAAAGATATTGTTGAGGACATTGTTTATTCTATCATGTAGCTTCTTTTTCAAAAAGAGACCAAACATAAGCGTTTTGGTTTTTTTGGTTGTTGTTCGGGTCTAAATGCCAGGAAGAATCTTCTGTGAAATGCGTTTATTTCTATCTTAGAGTCTGAGCGGGAGCACATGACCAGGTTACTGTCTTCACTGTGGCTGCTGGCAGGTTCCAGCCACATTTGTCGCCCAGACACGTGGAAGAGAGCACATCAATACTTGGTTTATGCAAACGTTTAGGCTTTTTTATGGCTCCATTTTCTGGCCCTCTCTTTAGTCTCCTTTATTCTGTTGCTTCTGCTTTATGATTGTTATCCTCTTGGGTTTTGTATCATTTTTAGCACTTTTTAAAAGTCTTGGAGACAGGGTGTGTGAAGAAAAATAAATACGCTAACCCTGAAGTCTTACAAAAATAGTTTGGTAATTTGATAGGGAATTCTTTGTGTTGGGTTCCATCTACAATGGTTTTGTGGCTAAAGGTTTATTTACCATTATTAGGGGATCTACAACATAGGCCCATTTTGAAGGTGGTCCCATGGTCGAATCCCCCAGACCCTCAATGGAGTGAGAATCCAGCACGTTTTCATTCTTCATTCGGGGAAGAAAATGTTCTCTTTCTTCACCTGGCTGCTGTATACCCTTTCCTCTATTGCCACCACTAAAATTATCTTTTTGTTTAAAGAACATTTGTGCTAATATCATATTTCTATTCAAATAAACACTCTACCTCCTGTTTCTTCTTTAACCTCTAAGTTATCAGTATGCAGATAAACAACTTTATACCTTGTTGTTAGAGGGGGAAATGGGGCCACTGTCCATATGGGATGCTTTACATGGAGCCCCATCTGAGAGCCGAGTTAATTAGGCAGAATGTTAATTGATTCGGTCGGTGCAAAGGTTGAAAGTGAACACTTAGTTTAGCGCTAGTCTCCAAGTTAACTCTTAGCCTGCTGCTCCCCTGTAGCATAAGTGTTTATGATTTGGTGACAGTAATCCCATTTGTACTTGCTTCATGGGATCAAGTTTTCTCACCTCTAATTTCTTAAGTAGTTGTCACCTTGACTGTGGCATTAAAGGCAGTGTCTTTCATTTCTTCTTCCCTCTGAGTTTACACCAAGCGTGCATCAGGACATAAACAATAAGAACAAATACAAACTAAAAGTGAGAAGAGGTTTTTTTTTTAAGTTTGTTTTTTTGAGAGAGAGAAGGGGGGGTGGGAAGGGCAGAGAGAGAGGGAGACACAGAATCCGAAGCAGGCTCCAGGCTCTGAGCTGTCAGCACAGAGCCCGATGCAGGGCTCAAACTAATGTGCCATGAGATCATGACCTGAGCCAAAGTCAGACACTTAACCGACTGAGCCACTCAAGCACCCCAAGAAGGGTTTTTAAAATCTACCCTAAAGCCCTGTGACTTTGTCTTCTAAAATGCAGTGTGGGGTTCTTTTTAATTGCCTTGATTGGAACGCCTTGGTGGCTCCTGAAAAATCCATCTGTAGCATAAAACATTGCAATCTTTGCATGTTGAAAAACTAGTAAAATCATTCAAAAGAGTGAATTTAAGCTTATGTCTCTGGTCTCTGGACACGAAGAACCAAAAGAATCAGAGGAGTTAACGAAAGTGCCGGGACGGGCTCCTCGCAGAGACAGACCCATAGTGCTGTTCTGCTTCCCATTTGCCCCAAGCTCCTCTGACATTATTTCCTCCTCGGTTTCGTCCGAGCCTGGGACCGGCTCACATTCCACCCCCAACGTGACTGTTGTTCCAAGAGCTCCTTCTGGAATTCCCCGCTGCACTTTCTGGTTTCATCGAGAGAGGTCACTGTGGCACTGCTACTGATAGAGTAGCCTCCCCAGCTGGCAGAACAAGGGGAAAATGCAGTCAGTCAACAACCACGTATTGGATGTTATCAGGCACCACTGCCAGGCGGCAGGAACGAAGAGGCGCAGAAAGGAGGCGATCCGCGTGGCCCCGGAAGGGAGGGGAGTCGGAAAAGAGGACGCGTGGAAATACGCTCCAACAACGGATATGTGCCCGGCCTCAGTGGCAAAAACATCCATGTCCTGTTTACATTTGGTAGGTTTTGCCTTGAACTGCATTCCGGCAAAGTCTTATGCACGAAGAACTGCTTTTAAGAGGTTCGATAACTTGCGTCATGTTAATTCTGTATCGCAAAATACCTTGGAGTCGTGTCTTCAAAGAAGCAAGTCAGCCACAGCAACAAAAATCCCACAGATCTCTTTTTTTGAGAAATACACTAGGCTGGGTTAGTATTACCTTTCACCATCGGTGGTTTGTAAGCAGGTGACAGCGAAACTCTCTATCCATTGCTTTCCCCTGAGCAGTGAGGTGGAGGCTCTTTTAAAAATCCCCATCCCTAGGCTTCATCTTAGGCCAATTACATCAGAACTTTTGGCACAGGGGGCAACACTGGGGTCTTTGAAAGCTCCAGGAGACTCCAGTGCACAGCCACGACTGAGAGCCAGGGCCCTAGGAGGTCCTCAGCTCTGGTCATCAAACTAGGTTCTTGTCCAACACTGAGAAGGAGATTTTAGAAATGATTTTTTAAAGTCTATTTCATGGAAACTGCTTGACAAATGAAGGGTCGTTTGGTTCTAAAATGTTATAAAATTGCACAAACTAAAAGTAGGGCTGTGGCCACAGTTAGTTTCAAGGAAACGATGGAGTTGTGAGCGGGTAACCCTTCTGAAGGTTGCCAATGATTATCTGTGGGTCATGTGAAATGAGTTTTATGTCAATACAGTAGAAGCTGTTTTGTGTGGTTAAGTACTTTTGCCTGGTTAAATAAGCAAACAAAGGTGGAATCAGGAAAGGAACAGAGTCTGATTTGCTTTGTGCTACCCAGATAAGTGGCCTCCCTTTCTCTGGGTTTGGTCTAGAATAGAAACTGTCTCTCCTGCCTCCGCCCCTGGTCTGTAATGAACAGATGCTGATTGTTAGACAGAACTTAAGATCTAGCGTATTAGTTTGTGTCACAAGTACGGGTCCATGGCTTGACTTTTATGACTTCTCTCTTGAGCAGTGGCTATCCTTCTCACTGAAGTGAGCTTTGAGCTCTGCAAACACTGCCTGATTAGAATTGGTATCATTAAAAAAGATTGTTTTAAACATTTGTTTATTGAAATCTGTAGTGATTTATTTTTTCATATTTTTTAATGTTTATTTATTTTTGAGACAGAGAGAGACAGAGCATGAGTGGGGGAGGGGCAGAAAGAGGGGGAGACACAGAATCCGAAGCAGGCTTCAGGTCCGTAGCTGTCAGCACAGAGCCCAACACAGGTCTCAAACTCACAAGCTGTGATATCATGACCTGAGCCGAAGTCGGACGCTTAACCGACTCAGTCACCCAGACGCCCCTGTAGTGATTATTTTTAATGCATAAAAGTTGCTAAAATATTTTTCCACTACATTATGGACACAGTATGTGAAGAGTAAGAGGAAGTAAGGATGTCTGAGTAAATTGAAAATTGTTCAATTCCATTCATAGTGAAAGATCTCAAGTGAAAGCAGTAATGAAGTTCATTTCCTCTATTAAGTTGTTTTTAAAGTTACAGTATGTAGTACAGGTGAAAATATAAATGGAACTGGTATATCTGTCTAATCCTGAAGACCATATAGTGTGGCAGAAAATGTTTGAAAAATAATTTGACAATACTTATAACAGCTTTAAAATAATTTGACATTACTTATAACAGCTTTAAAAATAGCTATACCTGGGGCGCCTGGGTGGCGCAGTCGGTTAAGCGTCCGACTTCAGCCAGGTCACGATCTCGCGGTCCATGAGTTCGAGCCCCGCGTCAGGCTCTGGGCTGATGGCTCAGAGCCTGGAGCCTGTTTCCGATTCTGTGTCTCCCTCTCTCTCTGCCCCTCCCCCGTTCATGCTCTGTCTCTCTCTGTCCCAAAAATAAATAAACGTTGAAAAAAAAAAAAGCTATACGTAAGTAATAGGAATCAAATAATATTAATATAATATACAATTTTTTTTAAAGATTACAAACAAATTTTTTAAATTTATTTTTAGAGAGAGAGAGAAAGCATGAGTTGGGGAGCAGCACAGAGAGGGAGAGATAGAGAGGGAGACAGAGAATCCCAAGCAGGCTCCGTGCTGTCAGTAACAGAGCCCAGCACGAGGCTTGATCTCACAAACCATGAGTATGGATAGTTAACCAACTGAGCCATCCGGGTGCCCCTCCCCACACTGTTTTTAATATTGTGGTTAAATACTATGGAGGAATAGTAAATTTTATGACATACGTGATGTTCACTGACGGGAAACTACCTTATAAACTGGAAAACGGTAAGTTAAAAAAAAATTAAAAAAAAAAAAAGGTGGGTGCCTGGGTGGCTCAGTCAGTTGAGCGTCAGACTTCAGCTCAGGTCATGATCTCACAGTTTGTGAGTTTGAGCCCCGCCTCGGGCTCTGTGCTGACAGCTCAGAGCCTGGAGCGTGCTTCGGGTTCTGTGTCTCCCTCTCTCTCTGCCCCACCCCCGCCCCATTCATGCTCTGTCTCTCTCTGTCTCAAACATAAATAAACATTAAAGAAAAAAAAAATTTTAACTGGAAAATGGAGAATAAGGGAAGTAAACTAAGTGAAACATCAGAACCAGTTCAAATTATAGAACCACTTTAAAACATAATAAATACAAAAATACATAAGGTAATATGTAATATGTAAATTATAATATAAATATAAAAAATAAAAAGTCATTTTAAAATTCACACAAAGTAATACCTTTTCTGGTGACAGATGGTAACTACACTCCCTGTGTGAACACTGTGTAATGTATGTAATTGTTGCATCACTGTGTTGTGAACCTAAAGGGAAAAAATTAAAATTAGGAAATAGAGAAAGGGTGTATTTTTATTTAAGTATCCACCAATGAAAATATTTGGAAAATAATTGAATCTAAATGCCTACCAATATATTATGTAAGTCATATCTACATATAAGTCATATCTACATATTAACATCTACATCTAGATATGTAGATGTTATGTATTAACATTTACATCTACATCTAGATATGTAAGTCATATCTACATATTATTGAGATATATTGATATGTGAAAGCCATTACTTTTATAATGTAAAAATTCTCTGTGAAGCAACAGAGCAAAAGCTCGTGCCGTATGTGTGATCGAGAATGAGTTGACACAAAGCTCAAGGAACAAAAATGAGTTACTTGAGATCCGGATAAGGGTGAGAAAAAGTCAAGCAGCATGCAAGCTTTGCTATAAAAGAGGTGACAATTATTACCGGACTTGAGTTGCAGAGGCAATAATTTATATTGGGGGATCGATAAAGTTCTGGAATGAAGGAGGAAGCATCTCAAATGAATTCTGAGAGGATGCTATCAAGCAGGTGGATATTTGCGTATGTAAAGTTTGTTAACAAGCTGTAGAACATAGGTCAGTCGAAGGGAGAAATATCTGTGTGCAGAAGGCACATGGGAGAAGAGTAAACTATTTTATTGAGGAAGAAAGTTCATTCCATCTTATTCATTCATTCAATCAATCTACCAATATTTATTGAGCAGTTACTTGGAAATCACACTTTCAGGTGTTCTGGTTACAATGGTGAAAGAGACACAGTCCTTGCATTTCATGGGGTTATATTCCAGAGCCTGAGACAGGAAAGAAGTGTTGGATTAACAAAAGTGCTATGAATGTATATTGGGTACACTAATATTGGGTAACTCTGCTTCCAAACATTTATTATTACATTTAATGGCAATAATAACCTTACAAAGTGGAAATTCTATGTCCAGCTCCTTTAAATTAGCTTGATGAAGGAGTTACAATCTAGATATCAACACCCAAACTAAAACTGCATCCTGTAAGTAAATTTCCAACAGAAGAATAAGGACCCGCAGGATGAGGGGATTATAACCTCTTTGCAGATGCATATAAACAAATGGTTTTTCAGTCATGAGACTTTGGACCCCTCCTGTGTCTGACCTTTAGGAATTTACCTGGACTTTGAGAGTTAGTATGAAGTCCTGCCTTCCCTATTTAAGAAAAACCATTTCATTTAATGAAGAACTATTTTTTGGTACCAACAATAGGTTGAGCATGTTGTTAAGCCCCGGAAACACCAGTAAAATAAATCCTGCTCTGTCTTCAAAGAGCATGGAGTCTAGTGGAGAAGACCCAAGACTGAGTGGTCAGTGCTGATAACAGTGCTCTCCAAAACCAAATCAGGGAACCAGAGCCAGCTTCCTGAGGAGGTATGATTTGAATAGGGTTTTGAGGGGTGAGTAAGAGTTAGCCAGATTAAAACAAAGTGTGGCGTGGTATAAAACATCACAGAGCCTGAAGCAGGGCTCGAACCCAGGAATGATGAGATCATGACCTTAGCTGAAATCAAGAGTCAGACCCTTAACGGAGCCACCCAGGCACCCTGAGTGATTTTTTTAAGAAAAGCAAAGTGGGGCCCCTGGGTGGCTCAGTGGGTTGAGCATCTGGCTCTTGGTTTTGGCTCAGGTCATAATGTCACAGTCAGCGGGTTCAAGTCTGGTGTCAGGCTCTGTGCTGACAGCACGGAGTCTGCTTGGGATTTTCTCTCTCTCCCTCTCTCTCTGCCCATCCCCTGCTCATGCACAAGCTCTCTCTCTCTCTTTCTCTGTCTCTTTCTTTCTCTGTCTCTCTCTCTCTCAAAATAAGTAAATACACTTTTTAAAAAATTTAAAAATTAAAAGAAAAAGAAATGTCTTTGGATGAGATTATACTGGTCTCTTTCAAATGTTAGAGAGAGGTTAATGATGTTAGTGTCTGAACATTTAATTTTCTTTAATTATTTCTTCATATAGCCAACATGCATCAATGTCTCAAGAATGTTCTTTTGCATGAATTACTTGCTAATAATAAATCGTCTATATTTAATCTATAACTTGTTAGGTAATATATTTACTTTACCTTGCAATATGATCTCCTCCAAGTTATGATAGGTCTTTTTTTCTTTAGGAGATAAGGTCACGTTGTTTTGCTTTTATGCACATGTTTTTCAGTGACTCTGAATCGAGAAGCTAGCACTCAGTGATCCCTATGGTGCCAACTGGCTCTCAGACTATGGCCCTACTGGGGAATTTTTGACTTTCCAGATATATAGAATCTAATTATTTATTGTGCCTTCTGTGAAACCTTCTGAACTGTTTTAATTTCTGCAGTTTCTTTTCCAGATCTGCTATGTTTTCCTTAAAGTGTGGTAACCAGCTCCACATGACATACTTCTAGAGGGCCATTTCCCCAAGGGTACAAAGCCTATCTTTGAGAAACGAAGGCAGAACAAGTGAGAGTTTGTTTGCCGTGTGACCAACACTCTCCCAAAGGATCTAAGTCACCACCAGGGATTCAGTGCATGGTGCCCCAGAGCTTAGCTTCCCTCGGGAGGTGGGGGAGGAGGCAGCACAGGCAAAGGGGAGAAAGAAAGAAAGAAAAAGGGGGCTGAGCACAGGCAAGGCCAGGAAAGAGGGTGAGCATCCAAATCAGAATTAGCTATGTAGTCCTGCAGGTTACACAGAACCCTCCGGTTTACCCAAGATCAGATTTATCGTATACTTCTCAAAACGTAGATTACTGGGCCCCAGCACAGACCTGTTGGATCATCTGGGGAGAAGTGAGAGAGAATGTGCAGAAATCTGTGCTTTAGACAAATTCCCCAGGTAATTTTCATGCACAGTCAAGACTGAGAATCATTAAGACAAAATGGTGGTACATTTTACAGGTGATCACCCTTGCTCTTAAGAAAACATTTAGAATGTGCAAATGTCCAGAAAATGACCTTTAAACTTTTCTATGTGTCCAATCGCTTCTATTTGAAAGACCTTCCTGAGAAAAAAGGCGATTTAAAATGGCATGGCCAAGGGGCGCCTGGGTGGCGCAGTCGGTTAAGCGTCCGACTTCAGCCAGGTCACGATCTCACGGTCCGTGAGTTCGAGCCCCGCGTCAGGCTCTGGGCTGATGGCTCGGAGCCTGGAGCCTGTTTCCGATTCTGTGTCTCCCTGTCTCTCTGCCCCTCCCCCGTTCATGCTCTGTCTCTCTCTGTCCCAAAAATAAATAAACATTGAAAAAAAAAAATTTAAAATGGCATGGCCAAAACAAGATGGCACATTATCACATTCCTTTCAACTAAGCTTAAAGATACACTTGTAAGTGCTTTCTAGTTTTCATTTCAGAAGATTGCGCTCAACGTGGTTGCTTCAAGTCAGTTCAAGTTCAGCTAACGCACCAGTGCAGACCAATCTTTTTTTTTTTTTTGGTCTGGAGTCCTACACAGATCTTAGCACATCACATTTCTGTTTCAGAAGTCCTCCTTTCTTATAAAGTGAGAGGGAAGTCCCCTTTTTCCCTAAAAACCCTTTGCAACCACTTTGATGCCTGAAATTCGTTTTCCTTAAATGAGGCTCCAAACTAGGTCTCTGAGAGATCTAACACACCAAAATGTAAGGTGCTTATCCTGAACTTTGCCTAAGAAGGCATTTTGATAAAGTAGGGGTTGGTGGGGCGGGGGGGAGGGGTGGTTGGTGGGCAGCATGAGGGCCTGGAGGGGAGGGACGAGCACAGCAACAAGGGGCTGGATTGGAAGACCTTGACCTCATCATCACTTTCCAGGACCATCCCTGCCCTGTTATACTTATCTTCCTTAGAGTAGGGAACAGCCATTTGAAGACAATGGCTGGTGCTCCCAGAAGCATAGCTATTTGGAGCTAAAGGACCCACTAGCTCAAAATCTGGCCCCTTGTCTACAAGGAACAGAGGAAAGATTGTTTCACTTTACCCAGATAATAGATCAAACCAGGGAAAACTGATTAGTCCATAAAAGCCTTTCAGCCAGACTATATTTGCTATACAGAAAAAAGAAAGGAGTTCTATTTTAGCTACTCTGTGCCTCCTCCCTGAGCTGCCTTAATTAAGGGTCACTCCAGGATTTTCAGAGTTTTCTTTGGTGGCTTCAGAAGAGAAAGATAGGAGGTGGCTTTGAACAAACAGGAACCTCACCCATAAAGCCAATCTCAAATTTCAACCTCAGTTCTTTTGCCAGCTAAAGCATCCACATAGAGAAGGGAGGGGGCCATTGTGCCAGGGAATTCACCCTCAGGGAAAGACAAAACCCCAACAAGCAAGGACTAACAAAAGATAATCTCAGACACAACCCTTCACCCTGGCTTTCAGAGAGAAAACACACTGTGGGTCTTAATTCCTTTATCGTTGGAGATAACAAGGCCAAACATTGGGACCTGGATCCCTATGGTGGAAGGGTACAGCACGTACTTCCGGTCTAAAACTTAGTGTTCTCCAAATTGTGGTCAATGGGTCAGCTGAAGTCTCTTGAAAACTTTCTGATGACTCCCCACATCTCCTCTGGTTCTCTTAGTTTACAGCCTGGCAATGCTTCCCCATCAGACAACTCTTCGTGATCCTGGTGGTCACCTAGTGACTCTGTCCCCAGCTCCCACGCTGCCATTCCTCAGCCTGAAGGCATTTTCCAGGAAGATTTGAAGAAGAGCCAAATGGAAAGTCAAACAGGCAGAAACCTTACCGAGAGATTAACTCACAATAGGTATGTGTGTTTTGGTGCCCTGTAGGGCAGTATTGTGCATGGAAAAGCTATTCAGAGGTTTACTTTGGTTTTAAAAAAAGTTAATACAGGTATCCCCTGATTTTCAAAGGTGACATTGCATCACTTTGCCATGCAAAAAGACCTTCACTAGTACCTGCTTCCGCTAACCAAAAGAAACCCAAAAAGGATTTTCACTTTTATGAAATAAGTTGAGAAGCAAAAATGGCATTCATTGTTGGTTTTGCAGTGAGCCACTGGAGAGGTTGGGGGGCCCGTGAGTCCCTTCCCCGGAGCTACACTCCTGCCAGAGCTCTGACCTGTGTCTGTGACCTGGGCTTCATCTTGATTTGTTCTGTGCATCTGTTGGCAAGATGTGTCCTCATGTATCAGAAAAATATAAGAGAGGTTATTTTGGGGGTCTACGAAAGCTCAAAACTTTTTCCATGTAAATGAAATTGCTCTTTACTTTATGCCACTTTATGCCGGCTCAGGAAAGATTTCACGGGAACACTCTTGGGTGGCAGAAGAAACCTATAATAAATTTACTGAAGTTATAAATTTAAAATTCATACCCTCAGCTGTTTCTCTAACCTTTTAAAGTCAGTTCACATTTGATGAATCAGACTTATAATTCCATTGCTATTTGTAATCTTACTAAGATGGCTAGTTAAAAATCATGGGACTATTTCAAATGCTTAAATATTCATCTTATACTGCATTTGTAAGGCTAATCTTGTCTCTATCAGTTGAAAGTCTGGAACAATACAAATACATAAAGTATCAATCATATACAGATTTCTTAACTCAAAGACATCAATACCAATGATTAGATCTCACCAAATATTTCCTACATTAACTTTTAAGTCTTCTCATCATTGAAAGACAGGTATCCATTAAGGAAAGAATTATGGTAGCAGCGCTTGGGTGGCTCTATCGGTTAAGCGTCTGACTTTGGCTCAGGTCATGATCTTGTGGTTCGTGAGTTTGAGCCCCATGTCGGGCTCTGTGCTGACAGCTTAGAGCCTGGAGCCTGCTTTGGATTCTGTGTCTCCCTCTGTCTCTGTTCCTCCCCTGCTTGCACTCTCTCTTTCTCTCAAAAATAGATAAAGATTTAAAAAAAATTATTTTTAAAGAAAGGAATTATGGCATTTCACACAATTCAGGAATTATTTTCCTGTACAATTTTAGGGAGTGCCTTCTCAACCTGGTAAGCTTCTTAAGGTCCAGAGATTTCAAGCAGGACATGACTGATCCTTGTCTCTGACCCTGAGGGTTATTATACCTGACTGTATTTGTGGTGGCTAGTTGGATGACTCCATTACTCAGAAAGAAGCAGTCAGGTAGTCCCAGAGCTAGAATTAGTTACACAGGGACTAATTATTTGGGAATGACCCCCCCCCCCCCGGGAAATTGCAACACAATGCAGAGGGCTCATTAGTGTGCTTCTTTAGGTCTTAATATATATAATATCTTTCCATTTTACTCTGAAGATCTATGGACCTGATGAAATCTTCTATTCTTTTTTTCAAATACTTCTCTCTTACTGATATTAAATGATACCTGCTTGAATAGTGACTCTCCTCTGGCGATTTTGAGTACCTGATCACAATTTTCAGTCATTCTGTTAACTGAGATCAGCTTCAGAATGGTATTGAGAGGCTGTCTGGAGGGCTATTTGAGTCTGATTCTTGGGAACATATGTGGACCATAAACTAGGCAGTTCCTTTGCTATGAGCTGAACAAGTTTCCCATGTACCTTAACTGGGGATTTCCACCCTCATTCTTCCTCCCTACAATCCTTGCTATTGCCAGAAATAACCGTAATAAGGCCAGTGATAATGCAGACCATATAATAATGAAGCTCAAAACAGAAGAGTCCATTGTTTGGTTTCACGGGGAGGATTTGCGATATATTGAAAAGCCAGGTAGGTAATGGGATGTGTCCATTGGGAGCCAAAATGTACTGCTCATATAATCAGAGAAGAGTTTGGGAGATGTCCAAAGATGGGGTAGAACTCGATGGTAGGATGTACTTGCCATATAAAATGGAAGGAAACAACACTAAGCAAGCAACCAACCAACCAACCAAAATTCTAGCACAAAATGAAAAATAAAGTAAAACACTAATGAGCTTCATCTCAAATGACTGAATTACCTGGGCTCCAGTTCTTACTCTGCCACTTACCAACTGTGTGATGTTAGACAGGTGATAACTGCTCTGATCCTTAGTTAATTTATTTGTTAAATGGAAACAAAACCTACCTCCCAGACAGAGATGTGTATTCCAATAGGAAGACTTGTTCCATGCTTAGAGCACCAGTATTAAAAAAAAAAAAAAAAAATGCTTCATTAATGTGACAATTGCTACTTCAGAAGAAAAATGATCAGTATTTTATTAAGGAATCATAATTCTGCTGCATTTCCTTACATATATTTTGCAATGAGTATTATTTTAATTTTCGTCTTGTGTTCACCAGAATTTTTTTTAGCCCATAAGGCCATTAAACGCCATTACGTGGCTCCGTTTCCAGAGTTATTATGAGAATTACATATATGTGAAAATGAAAAGTTTGGTAAATATAACAGGTGGCTGATGATTTTTAGTGTGAGAGGGACAAAAATTTAAAATAAAACAAGTTTCATAGGCAGTCCCTCCCTGCTATGGAAAATTTTCTTTGGCTGGTGGCATTCAAGCCTCCCTCAGCTATACCAGCCTTATCCAATTGATTGCTGGGAAGAAAACCTTAAAAAGGGAAACAGATCCCTTCTTGCGGAGAAAGAAGATTGCATGTGAAAAGAAAAGAGAGAAAGCATGAAAAAAGAATCTAGACCTTGCATGGTGACTGCTTTTGAAAACTTCCCGGAGCCTTGAATAAAAAGATGACTTCGGACACCAGCACACTGTGGTGGGCCCTCGGAGCAAGAGAGATGTGAAATTTATTTTTAAGGAGTTTAGGACATTTGTCTCTGAATATTCTTCATATCTGGCCTTTTCACAAGAGAAAAGTAAAGAACTAATTTTTTTTCTTTTTTTTTTTAGTTCTTTGTTTTACTGATGGTCTTTCACTCCATGTCTGTGAAGTGTTGAGTTTTGAGGTCAGAAGAAGTCATTTTGCTTTTGTGCCGATTATATTATTGTCATCATCATCACCATCGTTACTCTCATTATTGAATTCCAGCTACAGAGAGAAAAGCAAGAGGGTATCAAGGAGTCCATCCGGCAAAGAAAGTGAGTTCAGCCAGTGAAGAACAGAGCATCTGAATGAAAAGCACGCAAAACAAGGCACAAACCAGTTCATCACACATGTATTGAGCGCCTTCTTTGTTCCAGGCATGGTGATAGCGCTTGCCAAGTTTATGAACAAAGGTCGCTCCTTTAAGAGGATCGCAGTCTTGTGGACGAAATATTTAAACATCCTGGGCATGCTAGAAGTGCCACAACACAGAAAAAGCATAACAAAGTTAAACTGTTATATAAAGGATGGAATGATTCATTGTGGATAGTAGAATTGAGATCAAATTCATGAAAGAGATAGAACAGTTCGACTGAACCTTGAGGTAGACATTGGATTTAGGCTGGTGTTGCTGGAGAGAAGGGGAAAGGACACAACTTCATTTTGAAGCATAATATACTTGTGATAATGTTCTGCTATATATGAGTGAGTTATAATTATATGTATCATATATCATACGTCTGTGGTGAACACAGATGTAAAATTTCTACGGACGTAGAATTTCTATCATACGTCTGTGGTGAACACAGATGAGTTCATACTTGTGATAATATCTTGTGATATAATATACTTGTGATATAATATACTATAATATACTTGTGATATATACACACATATACTTGTGATATAATAATATACTTGTGATAATGTTCTGCTACATATGAGTGAGTTATAATTATATGTATCATATATCATACGTCTGTGGTGAACACAGATGTAAAATTTCTACGGACGTAAAATTTCTATCATATGTCTGTGGTGAACACAGATGTAAAAATTCTAACAAAATAAACAAAAATAAAAATTCATCAACAATTAAAAGATAATATGTAACAACAAGTTTGGTTTATGAGCAACATGCAAGGTTGGCTTAATATTAGGAAATCAATCAATATAATTGATCAATATCCTTTAATCTCCTTTAAAGATAAATAAATATTAAAAATTTTTTATAAAAAAAGAAGTGGAAATTATAGAAGTGAAAAATACATTCACAGGGAAAAAAATTATAAAATTGACTGAAGGGGAGATAAGACACTGTATAAGGAAGGATCACTAAGCTCTAAAACAAGTCAACAATCATCCAAACTGAACTTCAAGAGGAAAAAAGAATGACACACACACACACACACACACACACACACACACACACAAACAGACCCTGGGTGGTCAATGGGAAAATATGAGGCAGTCTAATATTTGTGTAATTGAAGACTCTGAAGAAGAAGGGGGTGAGGGAAGTGCAGAGAAAATATCTGAATAAATATGGCTAGAAGTTTCTTGAATTTGGGTAAAAAATGAATATACAGGTCCAAAAATCTCAGTGAAACTAAGCAGCATAAAAATAAAGAGAAACATACACAGTGGATAAACCATAGTAAAATTGCTGCAAATCAGTAGTAAAGGGAAATTCTTAAAAGAGAATATAGAAAAAAAGACATATTAAATACAAAGATGCAACAATAAAAGTATGGCTGACTTTTTATTAGAAACCTCCAGAAAACAATTGAATTGTGTCTTTAAAGTGCTGAAAAGAAAAAAAAATGTCAACCTAGAATTCTTTGTTCAATGAAAATGTCCTTACACAATGGAGGCAAATGATGACTTTTTTTTTTTTCCAGTTAAACTAAAATTAGAGAATTTGACTTCAGAGACCCTGAGTATATTGAAAAATATTAAAAGTTCTTTAAGTTGAGAGGAACTGATGTCCGATGGAATCTTGGGTCCTTATAAAGGAATCAAGAGGACAGGAAATTAAGACAGTGATATTGGCAATAGGGTAGATAATAATTCAGTGCAGCAGAAGGGAAGTTCCAGGGATAGACTCACATATCTAGTCAGTGATTTGTGATTTCCCTATTCAAGATCAAGTAGGTCAAAGTGGAATCTGAAAGTCCGAACTTACAAATTCAAAGTTACAGAGTTATGGAAGCCCCACCCAAACCGTGAGCGCTTGACATTTGGAAGTGTGAAAATGTGTTTAAGTGACAGGCAACAATGTCATTACATGGGATGGGTAGAAGGTAAGGAGCCAAGAAAAGTCTGGGTTTTTAGAGTTTGCCCAACAGAAAACTACTTTCTGACCGAACTGTACTGCATCTTTTACTGAAAGTGGTTCTATCATTCTCTTGGACGAAAGGAGTCCATTGCATTTCACTTTAGATTGGAGAATACTTTTAAAAATGACAGTGTACTAGTTATCAGTATTATTGAAAGGCCGAAGGATGTTTGAATGAGGTTCATATTTTGCTTGGAAATAAACATAGCAATTAACATGTGCTGAGCTGCCACCATTGACAAGCAGTATTTTAAATACTTTCCAAGAATTCTGTTTCCATGTCCTAATAGCTCACATGACCATTATCATCGTATTTGAGATGAGAAAATGAAGATCACTTGCCCAGCATCATAAATCTAATCAATGTAAAAAACCCAGGTAGTTGGGCTCCAAAGCCCACACTCTTAACCACTAGTCTGTGCCTCCCCGCCAAACAAACACGTTGGCACCTTCTTTTCTTGGGACCTATTTACCTACATCTGGTCATTACAATTTCTGTTACATTTCCTACCTGGCATACCACTTTCAGATAAGCCCCAGCAGCCATAATGTTTATGTGTTTATGTATCTGAGGCAGCTTTCATCAGATTCTGTCCAAATGTATTCTGCATTCATACTCTACAAAGGGTGTGTGTAACTGGACTATTTGCAAAATACTGAGGCACAAGTTCTCTTGACATCACACTAATACTACAAACAGCGTTCTCATTTTTTTCCAATCTCCTTTAACAAACACTTCCCCACCCTGTAACCCAACGTATATGCTTTCCTTGTTACAGGTCTGTGCAGGGACGGCTTGCTCCATTCTCTGAATATGGGTTGTTGCCTCTCTTTCCGAGTCATGTTTGTCATTACTATTTTTTGGTTTCCTTATTCCCCTTTGTATGAGATATCTAAGTTTCAGAGAAACTCATGCTCGTTTCCTTATCTTACACCAAACCAAACACTCTCAGAAAACCCACAAAACTCTTATAGTTAACCAACACTGTTGAAGCAAGAACTTGATATGTGTGACTCCATTATTTGAGTATGTTTAAGGTAAAGATGAAAATCATTTTGCTAAGTGTGTTAGATACGTACCAGGCTTTAGAGAAATAAAGATGAATTAAGACTTGGTAACTGCCCTCAAAAGCTGATGACTCAGTGGCAGACCTGTTAATGGACCTTTGTTTATTCCGTGGATATAGAGAAATCCTAGAGAAGAAAACCCAGCCAGAGGGACACCTGGGTGGCTCAGTCGGTTAAGCGTCTGACTTCAGCTCAGGTCATGATCTCACACTCCATGAGTTCAAGCCGCGTGTCAGGCGCTGTGCTGACAGCTCAGAGCCTGGAGCTGCTTCAGATTCTGTGTCTCCCTCTCTCTCTGCCCCTCCCCCTGCTTGCACTCTGTCTCTCTCAAAATAAAATAAAGACATAAAAAAATATTAAAAACAAAAAAAAAAAAAGAAAGAAAAGAAAACCCAGAGAAGCAAGATCCCTGACATCCAGAGATCCTACAGCTGCAGAAATAACATCTCTATACATGATGATTGAATGAATTGGCTATTTGTAAAAATAATAAATAGCCTTTGAATACCCACTATATGACAGATATTGTTTTAGTATATTTTTTTAAATACGCCACAGTCTTGGGGCGCCTGGGAGGCTCGGTTGGTTAAGCGTCTGACTCTTGATTTTGGCTCAGGTCACGACCTCACGGTACATGAATTCAAGTCCATGTCGGGCTTTGAGCTGACAGTGCAGACCCTGCTTGGGATCCTGTCTCCGTCTCTTTCTGCCCCCCCTCCCCCACTCATACTCTCTCCCCCTCTCCTTTTCTAAATAAATAAATTGAAAAACATTAAAAAAATCCCCACAATCTTATGAAGTTGATTTCTATTATTACTCTCCTTTCATAGATAAGGAAATTGAGGCACAGAGAAATAGAGTAACTTGCCGAAGGTCACCCAGATGTCAGGAGCGGAATTTGCATTTTTAACACGAAAACCACGTCTCTACTAACTGGTTAGTCTCGGGCAAGTTATT